TGCACACAGGGAGGGGAAGATCACACACTGGGGCCTGTCAGGGGGTGGTGGGGTTGGCAGGGGATAGCGTTAGGAGAAATAGCTAATATAGGTGACGGGTTCATGGGTGCAGCAAACCACCATGGCATGTGTATACCTATGCAACAAACCTGCACTTTATGCACATGTACCCCAGAACTTCAAGTGTAATAATGATAATAATAAAGTGACCAAGGGTAAAGCTCCTTACTATTTTTACATCATTCTCTTACTATTTTTTTCTTGCTTATAATTTCAGCCTTTAATGGTGAGAGATTTGATTGCTTTAGAGTAGGGGTCTTTCCTTTAAAACAGATGACTCACAAAGCAAGCCACTAGGAGTACAAGAGGATGATAATCCAGGAAGGGCTGCAGGCAGCATTTTTCCTTCCTCCTGGCTCCTGGCCTCTTGCCCTTTGAGATTGCCTGTGGCTGCCAGGGCAGTATAAACAAATTGGAGCTGGATCAGACAAGATTTAATGATGGTCGGTGTGGTCAATCCATTATGGAACCAAGCACTTTATTTACTATTTACTAAGTAGATTGCTATTCATATAGTGTTGGACCATTTTATAGGATGAGAGGTCTTGAACTAATTTCATATTTTTATGTTCTATTTCCCTAAAAATGAATACTCTTCCATAGCCATTAGTGCAGCTAGAAGGGAATCCTAATGCAATTACTTTAAAAAAAACTCTTTAGGGGACTAACACAAGTATTTGAAACTCAGAAGTGTAGAGTTTTGAGCTGCTTTCTTTGAAGATAGCATTTTGATGGCAGGAGAGGCCATTTTTTGGTAATAACAGTATTAGTATTTTATTCAATCACTAATAAGAATTTATGTTTACTTAAACTACAAGTTAGGTCTTACATATAAATTGTGTTTGGTAGGATATTCTATTCCAATTTGTGCCTCCAACTGCCTCAGACACGTATCTAAGCAGGCATTCTTTTACATAAAATGCCTGACAAATACCATTTGCAGTAAAAGTAGGAAAGTTGTACAGGCCAATACTTCTCAAACTTTAATGTGCTTATGAATCTTCTGGAGATCATGTTAAAATGCAGGTTCTGATTCTGGGTGGGGCCTGAGTTCTAAATTAATAACAAGCTCCCAGGTGATACAGATGTCACCGAATCCAGAACTACACCTGAGTAGAAAGTTGTAGACTATTTCACTTGCAGAATATTTTATCTGAACTATGAAGACTGACCATGAACAGGTACTAAAATTATAAAGCAATGCCTTAACTTTAGCTGGAGACACAAGCCAAGCAAATGGATAGAATCTTGTTAAAAATCTGTGTTGACTCCTTTAGACAGTTTTTGAATTTCCTTGGGAATGGGGAGAGGTATTCCATATTCTATTTTCATTTTACTGTAAAGGCAAGTGCAAGATTAAAAACCTAGGAGGTGATGGCACAAGTGGGCATCCCTTTCATTTCAGAAGACTAAATACCTGGCCCTTCTTGAAAGTAATTGAGCAACCCAGTAACCAATATCAGCAGAATTTGGGAGACAGAATTTTGGCATGTACCAAGAATACATGAGCTTGATCAGTTTCACTTTCTATATGTAAAAATTCTAAACCAGTAGTGTCACGTCTGCAGCTGCTGTTGCATTTCGGCCCAACTTAGTTTTCACCAAGTGTGAGTGCAGCACAATGCCACAGAAATGAGGGCATAAGAAAAACATCAGATTTATTATTCATAGCAACAGCTCCAAGTCCAGACAGCTCCAAAGTAAATCTGAGCAAGGACTTGCTGTGACTTTGTGACCAAAGACTTAATGTTCTCATATCATTAGTGGGCTCTGGCACTTTATCAAACCTGTAATATTGACTAACCACCAGTAATTGCTGATTTATGGGCAAACTTTTCTCAGTCTTGTTTTCTTCAGGACTCTAACAGAACTTCATCTTCTGAAAACACGTTGAATCAGTAAGTTCACGTTCTCTTTGAGCTATGCTGTTTTTATATCTAAATAGAGGACATCTTGCTCTTTTACCTGTTGCTGTCAATAAGACCTTATAATACTTTATTTGCCTTAAGTTATCTGTTTGATAAAAGCAGCCACACTTCTATGCATTCACAGAGGGCAATTAATGAGAATAAGGCATGTGGGGAATAAATTTTGTTCTTCTATAATTTTCAAAAGCTCTTTACTTAAGTGCAATAAAATAACGATACAACTAAGAATGATTTCTAAAGAGCATCTAGTCCTCGGTGACAAATAGGTTTCACTTCCAGTGCCATATGATAGAGAAATGTCAGGAGATGTGCCTTTTATTTTCTAATCCAGATCTAATACCAACCAAAACTTCTATTCCATGTTCTTCTTTTCTTTTTTCTTTTCTTTCCTTTTCTTTTCCCCATTTTCTGGCATCCTCTATGTAAGATAAAAGTATCAACCAGGCACCAAAATTAAATCTGAGGAAGGATTATACCAAGATACCAAGAGCCTAGGACAACTCTGCCAACTTCACCTTACCTTCAAACTTCTCCTACCTCTTGTTTTATCATTAACCAGCACCAGGGGATCCCCAGAACACATCCATGGCAACTGTTGTTCTCCAGTATATTCAAAGGGACACGTATTGCCCTTGGGTGCTTTGTGACTCATTCTACACTCACGAATGACCACGTTATCGCAAATTTAAATCATGATATAGAATGTTTGTTGCCAATCCACAGCTCACAAGAGTTGGACACATAGTCGTGTCTCAGGTTCTCATCTATATCCTTTTCCAGGAAAACTCCTGTCAGGTGTCTCCTCCATCACTTTTCACCCTTCATTAGCATTTGGAGGGAAGCAGAGGTTGGTGACAGCATCATCTGGGACCTTACAACAACTTGGAACTGTCCAAGCATAGAAATACATGTTTTCCTACTTATTTCTGGATTCAGGAGAATGTTAATTGCAGCCAAGATGTCTAGAGCTGATTTAGGTCTCTCTCTGGCAGTGTGACGTTGGCTGAATTACTTCACTTTCTAGATATTTTGTCAAGTGTGGATAATGGTATCTGCTCTTAAATGTGGTTAATCAAAGAAAATCTGCAAAAGAACTATGCTCTCTCCACAGGAAAAGTTCTAGTCTATATCAAACAAGAGATTATTAAGACACTGATATTTTCAAGCTGAGTTAAGTGTAATTGAGTTTTCCACAGTAAATGTACATGTTTAGTGATTCTGTTATTGGTGGGCTGATTCTTGATATGTTAATGAAGACCAATGTATAGTTTTCTTGATTAACCCATGGCTTAGGGCTTGTTACTTCAAGCACCAAACAAGGTTCAGATTTTTTAAAGCATTACATCCAATATATCAATTAATCATCTTAGGAATTAGTGTAAAACTAGCACAGATCCCTGTTTATGGAAAGAGATGGTTATGTTAGTTGGAATGCTGCAACTGAAAAAAAAATTCTCAAATATCAAATAATTGATATTAATATATTTGAATGGAAGATGTATATTATATTGTTAGTGAGATATAATTCATAAATGTGTACATGTTCTAAATAATTACTTTATGAGGTTTATCTCACTTCCAAAATAGACACTATTCCATATATCTAGCAAATATTTTGAGATAGCAAAATGCTAATACATTTTTCAAATTAAAGTAGGAACTATAGTAAAGTATTGAAATTTCTTTCTTGCTCTTTCTTATAATATTTGCTATCACTTTTGATGTTCAAATTTTCACATTTAGCTGCTATTAGGGTTTGTTAATTTGTAATCAGACCTGAATAATTAGTATAAACTTCCAGTTACTATCCAAATTAAACACTAGATGTGTGTCATAACTTGCCATCACTCAAATTCCTTGGTTTTCCCAGGTAGGCCCTTCAGATCTTTGCAAATTTATACACAAAGTTAAGTCCAAATAGTGAGAACAATAATTTATAGAAATGCTGAAGGAAATGATATATCAATATATATTGCATGAAATATACATGTGCACACACACACATACATATACACGAACACACACCCCGAGTCTCAAGTCAAGGCCTCTCATCAGTTTAAAATACCTAAAGCTTATCATAATATATAACATATAAACCTTGTTATAATATTTTATCATTCCTTTTCAGTTAGAAATTTAACTCAACAAATTTGTTTTGATGATTTATTATGTGAAAGGCACTATGCTAAATGTTGTAGGAGAAATAAAGACTAACAAGGACCTCACTATCAAGCCAAGGACATAATCCGTGTGTACAAATAATCCACAAGAAGAGGGTTTAAAAGTGTCACGAGTAAAAATCTATGGGAGCATAAAATAAGACAAGATTGCCACTAGGACCAGCTTTTTAAAGGAGTTGGCATATTGAACTGAGCTTAAAAAAAAAGGTACAATTTCTAGGATTTCCCAACAAAGACAGTAGCATGAACAAAAGCATGCAGGGGTTCTGTTGTTTGAATTTTGTCCCCTCCAAAACTCATGTTGAAATTTAATTGCCATTGTAACAGTATTAAGAGGTGGACCCTTAAGAGGTGATTAGGCCATGAGGACTCTACCCTTATGGATGGGATTGGTGCCATTATCACAGGATAACTTGGGTCCTCTCTTGGCCCTTCCTCCTTCCACCATGAGATGACACAGCAAGAAGGCCCTCACCAGATGCTAGCACCTTGATATTGTACTTCTCAGCCTCCAGAGCTGTCAGTCAATAAATTTATCTTCATTATAAATTACCCAGTCTTAGGTATTCTATTGTAGCAGCAGAAAACAGACTAAGACAAAGGGGAAAAAAGGCTGGAAGTATATTGGGATTGGTGATGAGAGAGGGATTATGGAAAAAACAGTAAAGCATCTCCTTCCTCAAAGTGTTTTATCCAGAATTTCACCTGCTTTCATCAAGACTGTGAAAATAGTTTTTGAGTACAGATTGGTATGTGAAGAAATTCTAAATCAGAAAGTGATTTTCTAAGGAGTACATACACAATAATTTTAATTCTTTAAATTGCCCAGGACAACTGAGGATTGCATTCACCAACATTATAAATTTTCACTGGGAGTCTACAGAGTACTCAAAGAAATGGAAAAGCAAATCATCTGGTAATACTTTGTTGGTAACCATCTGACAAGCTCAGTACACAGAGAAGATGGCTGGGAAGGCATAAGAGGTCACTGGGGTAAGAGTCTCTCAGCTGAGAATGCAAGTGCAGGCACTAGGCATTACTGTGTACTCCAGTTGAAACCCACTAGGGAGGGGGAGTAGCAGTTTTAGATTTAAAAAAATTTGAGAAAATAATCCTAAAATGGAGGGGCCTGTCTGAATTACCTTGAGTAATTGAATTGTTACCATAATTCATTCAATTATTCAGGCGATGGGTGATCTGTAAACCAATCTGAATGTTTCTTCTCACCTTACTCCTCACGTTCAACTGGTCTCTAAGTCTTGCCCTTATGCCTTTTAAATATTACTTGGATCTGACCCTTCTGACCTCTAACTTATTTCCCTTCTGTTATAGCTAGTATCCCTGCCTTCATGTTTTCTTCCTTCTAATCTATGCCTCACATTGCTGTCAGAGTTGTATTTATAAAGTGCAAAATGGGTTGGTGCAAAAGTAATTGTGCTTCTTGCAATGAAAAGTAATTGCAAACCCACGATTCCTTTTGCACCAACCTAATACACAAATGGTTCAAACTCTTCAATAGCCTCCCACTATCTACAAGATCTGGCCCCAAATTCTATATATGGTACATAATATGCATGACACATTGTTCTCCGCTCCCTGCCTCTGTCTCTAGATTCACCTCTACCTAGTCATCCTATGATGAGCCATATAGAACTATCATGAAAATAAACCCATCCTCCAGAATTTACCATTCAATAACTTTATGCAATGGAAATTTTCAAGGCAGATCTTCATTGGATTAATGAAGAGGACCTCTGTGTGCCTCAAGGTATTTTCAAGCAAAAGAAAAAAAGTTAAAAAAAAAAAAAAAAAAACCCTCTATCCAAACATTCTAAATTCACTTTGAAAAAGCTTACCTAGTGTAATTCCACAGAAAAAAACACCTTTCAAATGGAGTATTTTAAATATTTGAAATCTATATTTTATTCTAAATATTTGTTTTATGTATTTATAAATATTTGCTTCTAGTTAACAAGTATATTTTGTATTTTCCTTGCATTTGCTTCTGTGATTAACATTGGTATTTTTATAGTATGAACAGAACCAGAACTCTAATTTGTAAGATTGCATAAATAGGATAAAAAGAATTTGCCTAAGCATGACTTGACTTCTAACTATTGTACAAGAACCAATTATGCTGTCAGAAGTGGCCTATACACAAGCTTAGAAATGAAAAGGGAACCAAGAGACTATTAAAAGAACTCCAAGAAAATACTTTGCACAACTCCATATTAATAAAATCTTAAAGAAATGAACAGTAGTCTAAGAAAATATAAATTACCAAAATTGGCCCTTGAAGAGGTAGAAAACCTAAATAAATCAATTTTCATGGAAAAAATAAAGTTGTCACAGAACTACTCCTCAAAAATGTGCAGGACCCAGATGGTTTTACAGATGAATTATTTCAAACTTTCCAGGAACAAATTGTTTCTATGCTATATAAACTGGTCCAGAACATAGATAAAGAAAGAAACTGTCTCTATTCTTTATATGAAGTCAGCATCCATCTAACAAAGAAAGCACAAACTTCAGAACAATCGCCCTTAAAAGAACTGACTCAAAACTCCTAAACAAAAGATATGCTTAATTACTTTAAATATTCTTAAATGTTAGAGAATGGCCTAGTAAATTAATTGCAGAAATGCAAGGTTAATTAGATGGTAGAAAATTTATTAATAGATCAAAAGAGAAAAATCATGTCATCATCCTGTAATACAAAAAGGACATTTATTTTGATAAACTTGAACTAGGAAAATGCATGCATATTCCACGTTTGCCATAACTATCATCTACTTTTTAAATGGTATGAAATGGTTAAACAATAAAACCCTGAGACTCCACAAAGCATCATAAACTCCAAACATTCCGTACAGTGGAGGAATTTGTTTTGGTCTAATTCTACCTATTCCTTTCTTTCAGAAATGGAGAATGGGTTGCAAAGTGCTTCCCACAGCACTGCCCTGGAGCAGAGAGGGTACAGATTACAGGGAGACAAGATAGCGAGCAGCGAACACTGCACAGGTATAAAAACCCCACTCCTAGGAAAACAAGCAGCTACAGCAGGCATTTTGCTGAACATGTTGTCGGGGAGAAATACAGCTGATAAAGAAGCAGATGCTGATGGAAAGGCTGCCCATGCTCGGGAACTGACAATAACAGCTCTGGTATGAAGAGGTGATCTGTAACACACAGACTATAGAGAACGTGAACAGAAAAAAAATCAATAAGCCAGTTCAATACAAGAAGAGAAGTCAACCAGAACAGGACAGAAACCATTACCTTAGCCACACCTGGAACCACACTGGGTATGCCCTGGAGTTTTGAATATTTATTGATAGTTAAGTTCATTGTACAACCTGTAGGGTAAGGAAGGAGCAGTGTGCTTGTCATGTTACAAAAGTCCATGAAGACCTAAGGGCCTGCAGGACATTCAGCCACTTTTTACGGAGAGTCTACTAAATTGTGTTTTATCCCCCCTCAAAAGCTGGCATGAGATATGCCTCCAGCTTCAAGCAAAACAACTCTGCCACTTTAGCAACTGCAGATTCGAAAGAGCTTGATATAGGAACCAAAGGCAACCTAATGGTGGATCCAACACCTGTTTAAATGGAGCATTCCTTCTTGACTGGTGGCAAATCCACACAATCATTTCTTATGAGAACAAAGATGTCCTGAGCAAGGGTGAGCTGCAGTTCTGCTTATTGACAGAGCAAGCCCAGATTTGAAATATAAGGATAGGCTTTTCGGTATAAATTACTGTACACCTCCATAGGTGTATGCTTTCCCTCACACTGCCCTTCTAGCATCTCCTGGTATTTTCTGTACCCATCCTTGCTCTTAGAGGAAAACAGGCACAACATCTACATGGATTATCTTTAAAAAATAAAAAAGTCAAAGCAGAAGAAAGAACAATAATCCATAGATAGTTGTGAGTGGCATGAGAATGTGTCACGTAAAGGTAGCATGGAATAAACAGATAAGTGGGAGAGTAGGATAATGGATGGTGAATGTTCAGGATCAGAGAGAGAAAGAACGAGAGAGAGAGACAGAGAGATAGATCTTGAATAAAAGACTGAGAAGCTCCTAGGAATTTCAGGCTAAACAGTAGAATAGGAGGAGGATGATTTAAGATGAGTTCCTGTGTACTAAGTATCTCATCCTTCAAATTTTGAGACAGACTCAAATAAAGACCAGAAGTCTTGACTGGGCCACATATATCCAAATGCAACATGTATTTAAATGTTTATGGATGTTTCCATTAGGGTCTGAGAGCATTGAGCATTGGGATATAATAACAAAAGCACAATTCTAGTCCCAGTCTTCCTGCTCTAGACCTGGCTCTGACATCGACATATCTTGGGCAAGTTACTCAGTTCTCTGGCCTTCAGTTTATTCATTTGTAAAATGACCAGTCTCGCTGGATGATCAGTGCAGAATTGTAGTCCCTTACTACTCTAAAATCCATATTACATTCATAGTAGAATACCTTTGTAATGCTGATATGAGGAAATGGATTTACTAATAGGAAGTGCTCTGGCCAGATTTTATTATTTGAAGTAATGCATCATGGATATAGCCAGATATGGGCGATAATAAGATAGATACAAATATGGTTTTGTTGTACCCTCTTCTAACCAGTATTTCAAGCTTAAATAAAAATGTAACTAATGAATGAAAAAATAGTGAATTTAATTTATATTACTTTGAAATGTATATTGTAGCCAATTTTAAGGGGTAGTATGTAAAACATATACACACGCATACATATACACACATATGTCCGGAATTTGTTGCCTCAAAAACAGAACTCTAGGTAAGCATTCACACAGATCCCCTCCAGTCACTCCAAAGGCACTGACTGCTCTCCACCATCCACAAATTTTGCCATTCCACACAGAAGGAGGGAGACAGATTCAAACGTGTACAGAATTTTTAAAAATAATTTTCCTTTCTGTAGTTCCTCTTATGAACTACATGTTGGTAGAGTATTTTATTAACTATGCTGAGAATTATGCTACTTCAAATACTGCTAGGGTGGATTTCTATTGTTTTTGCCTAACACTCATTCACCTTTTTCTAGTGACACCACCTGAACTTTCTTTTCTTTAAATTTATTTAAAAAAATTTTTTTGAGACAGGTTCTTGTTCTGTCACCCAGGCTGGAGTGCAGTGGCACCTTCATGGCTCACTGAAGCCTCAAACTCCCAGGCCCAAGTGATCCTCCCACTTCAGCCTCCCAAAGAGCTAGAACCACAGATTTGTACCACCATGCCTGACTAATTTCTTTATTATTATTATTATTATTTTTTTTTTTTGTAGAGTTGGGGTTTTCCTATGTTGTCCAGGTTGGTCTTGAATTCCTAGGCTCAAATGATCTTCCCCACTCAGCCTCCCAAAGTACTAGGATTGCAGGCATGAGCCACCACACCTGGCCCACCTGCACTTTCTTTAGGGAAAATCCACTGAAGAAATTCAGATGGGCTGACCCCATCCCAATAGCTCTGGGTTGGCCACTTGAATTAGGATTGGCCCAGCAGAGCATCATGTCCCCCTGCCCAGTGACTGGTTCATCAGAGTCAGTGAGGGTTAGATGTAGGTCTCTTGAAGAAGTTATTGGGAAACAGATGCTGTTTTTTTCCACTGGAATTCTTTTTTTTTTTTTTTTTTTTTTTGAGACGGAGTCTGGCTCTGTCGCCCAGGCTGGACTGCAGTGGCCGGATCTCAGCTCACTGCAAGCTCCGCCTCCCGGGTTCCCGCCATTCTCCTGCCTCAGCCTCCCGAGTAGCTGGGACTACAGGCGCCCATCACCTCGCCCGGCTAGTTTTTTGTATTTTTTTTAGTAGAGAAGGGGTTTCACCGTGTTAGCCAGGATGGTCTCGATCTCCTGACCTCGTGATCCGCCCGTCTCGGCCTCCCAAACTGCTGGGATTACAGGCTTGAGCCACCGCGCCCGGCCTCCACTGGAATTCTTAAACAGGAGGATATAAACATTGAATTGGAAGTGACCACCATATGGAGAGAATCAGTCTGAGAATAAAGTCCAATGAGGAGCCTGGAGAATGAGATCTAATTAGGTCCCCCAACTTATCTGCAATATCTGATAGTCAATCAACTCTCCTTCCTGAGACCCTCTCCTCTTTGACTTCACATCATATATATAGCCAAATATAGTTACAGTATTGGAGATATATAGTTTATAATGATATATAATAGTATACTACATATATTATATATTATATATAACATAATATATATAATTGATATAATCTATTTTATTATATATGTTATATATAATTTAATGATATATATTATATATAATTATATATTGATTATATGTAATAATATATAATATATCTTCATATATATATTTAGACCTTGGATAGAGAATTATATATCATATGGCCTAAATTTAAGTATTCTCTAAGGTTTTTCATCAGGTTTTATTCTCACTCTATTCTCTTTTGGTAAGATCATCTTCCATTTAATTCAATGAACATTCACTGTGTTTCTGCTCTGCTAAGCATGAAAGTCAAAAAAAAAAAAACCTACATAAGCAGTTACCCATGTGGAGAAGCAATGGAAAGGTATTCCAAGCAGAGAAGAGAGTATGCACAAACACTAAGAGATGTGAAATACTGTGATACATGTGGGGAACCACGAAGAGCCCAAAGTAGTCAGAGCATAAGACTGGGTGGGAAATGACAGATTTCAGCTGACAAGTTGATCATTTTAGCCTCTTTTCATCATAGAGGGTAGAGCAGTTTGTCCTTTTGGGAATAGATAATTATTCTGAATTTGGATTTGGTTTCCCTACCCACCTTCGACACCTGATGCCTTTGCCATAAATTCTTTTCATTGACTCTTCAAATACATTATAACCCTCATTTTCTTCTACAAAACATTTCCTCCAACCAAGAAACTCACTTCATATTAATAGAGTTGATATGAGCCACTAGCACTGCCCCATTATCCTAAAGAGCCTGCCTGTATGGAACAGAGCATGGTCTATTGAGGACTTGGATATGTCCCAGCTGGTTGTACTTTTGAGGATAATGCCCAAAGCAGATGTCACTTTCTAATGTTTTCACTCTTTGATCTCCTGACTCTCCCCTAAATTAGATGAAAATGATGGCATTAAACTAATAGATGATGAAAATAGTTTATAATGTAACAAACATAAATTTGTCTGAAAAGATATTTGAAATCTAATTATGTGATTACTTTTGAAAAAATAATTTGTGGGTTTGCGTGCATATGCATGTGTACCAAGAGTCAAAAAAACTAATATACTCATAATTATGGTTTATTACATTAAGAAGATACAGATAAAGATCAACAAAGGGAAAAAAGACATAGGGCAAAGTTCAGGAAACACCCGGCACAAGCTTCTAGGTATCCCCTCCCAATGGAGTTGCACAAAGACACACTAATTCTCCCAGCAACAATGGGTGACAACATATATGAAGTTGTCAAACAAGCAACTCAACTGAGTCTTGGGTTCAACGTTTTTACTGGGGTCGGTCATTGTCTTAGTCTGTTCAGGCTGCTATCACAAAATGCCATAAACTGAGTGACTTCTTGTCTTAGTCCATTTTGTGTTGTTATAACAGAATACCTGGGGCTGGGTAATTTATTTGAAAAAAAAAAAAAAGGTTTTTCTAGCTCATGATTGTGGTGGCTGGAAAGTTCAGGTGCCAGCCTCTGCTCAGCTTTTGGTGATGGCCATGTGCTGTATCAAGACGTGGTGGGTAAGCAGAAAGGCAAGTGGAATGTGCAGAGAGAGACAAAACAAGTCACTTTATAACAACTCATTCTTGAGAGAACGAATCCAGTCCTGAGAGAGTGAGAACTCACTCACTTACTTCAAAGATTAACAGGCATTAATCTATTCCCATGACCCAAACACCTTCCACTAGGCTCTACCTCCCAACACTGCCACACTGGCAATTAAACTTCAGCATGACTTTTGGTGGGGACAAACCACAGCACTTTTAAACAACAGAAATTTATTTCTCACAGTTCAGGAGGCTGGGAAGGTAAAGATCAGGGCAGTAGTAGATTCAGTATCTGGAGAAGGGCCATTTTCTGGTTCATAATATCTTCATAGACAGTACCTTCTCACTCTAACCTCAACGGCAGAAAGGGGCAAGGGAGTGCTCTGGGGTTCCTTTTATATAAGAGCACTAATCCTATCCATGAGGGTTCCACTGGCATGACCAAATCACCTCAAAAGGCCCCACCTCCAAATATATCACGTTAGGAATTAAGTTTCCACATATAGATCATTTAGTCTATTGAAGTCTTGTAGGCGTGCAGTGACATATGACTGATCTCAGGTATTCAGACCCCACCACCTGCCCAGAGCAAAAGACAGGTATAAGCACTAGTAAATTTTCAAAAGAGTAATTTGGGAGAGTCTGAGCTCCTGAGCCACTCGTGGGGACACAGCAAATGGTCTGTGGCTGTGGTGACCGAGGACAGGAACAGAGATAGTGATGACGTGGAGGTGGAGAGGGAGCTGCTTGACCTAGCCCACTCTATTTCAAAAGAAAAGTTTATAAACTCTGATGATTGATTAATATAATACAGCGTATTAAGAAGTAAAAAACAAAAGTTAAAGATGACTCCTGTGTTTCAATTTTTAATTCCTGTCTAAAGTATCAAAGGCACATGATTGGAGTACCATGGGTAAATAATATTATTCATCCTAATAAGAAACTTCTCTTTGAATTTTTAGTGTACGATTAAATTATTTTCTTCCATTTGGCACAAGATTCTCATTACACTTAGAACCGTTATCCCCACTGGGAAAAGAAGTTTTCTTACCCAGAATTAAGCTGATTGCCAAATTACCATTTGTGCTGACAATGTGTAAGTGTCATAGCTTTTGTTTCTAAGTTACTCTTGCTCCCTGATGAACGACGATTTAGTTTGTGTAAGTGTTTAACGCACCAAGTTTTAAAGCCTAGTTGTAATTTTTAGTTCAAGATGTTTGACCTTTCATCCACATTTAAATATCTGGAAAACACTTGGAAACCTCAGCTGAAAGATCAAACAAAATTCTGTCACCAAGGTTCCTGACCTTTCTTCATTTCTGAGAAAAGGAATTAAGACTTCAGGCTTTCTTAATACACATTTGAAACCAAGTTCATTGATTGAGGGCTTTCCGTTCTGCATTTGTCTCCTTGGCTGCAGCTAATGTCAGTGTGAAATCTGTGGCCCTCTATTATTTTCTCTTTTTTTCTCCAACTTCTATAAAGTTCAAGTGACTTCCAGTGGAGTAAATGAGTGAAAAAAACACAAGTCCAGATTCTGTATAGGTCTGAATATGTAAAATGGTCAGGATCTTAAATTAAAATGCTAAAATAACAATAATCCTAAAACTGACTACTAGACAGAGGGTTTACTTGAATCTGGAACCTCATTCTTGTTTTCATTTGGTAAAACTGAATATTTTCTATTTCTTCATGTATTCGCTGAATGATTGATTGTTGAGGCTTACTCTGTGCCAGGTAGTCAGTATACCTCAGTGAACAAAACTCAGACTTTCCACTCATGAAGCTTACACTAGGGTGGTGATATAAAATAAGCATGACAAATAAGTACATCTATGGTAGGTGAGGAGGTGATTGGTGCTCTG